ATTGACTCTCAAGCAGACTCCATGCTAAGAATGGAGCCCAGTGTGGGGCTCGATCTCACAACCTGAGCCAAAACCAAGAGTCAGATGCTTACCTGACGATGATACCACCCAGGCTCCCCGACAGAGATATTTTTAAATGACAATGCTCAGTAGGAGGACAGATAATAGGTCCTCTCTAATGCTTCTGGTGGGAATAGAAACAGGGATAGCCTTTTTGGACGTCCACATCAATGAACGGCATGTCAATATCCCATGTCCATGAACATTTGTTAAATCACACTGATTTGTCCGCTAAGAGCCTCCCTGTCCCTCAAGCTCCTGAATGGAGGATAAGGGGGCAACATGTCCAGACTCTAGTAATTCACTCAACACCCATTCTCAGAGCACCAGGCCCTGAGCTGGGTGTTGGGGATATGCAGATGACTCTTGGGGGTCCACAGGCCAGGGGGAAGGCCAACAAAACCACTCTAGGAATTGCAGCATTCCTGGATGGCAGGTGACACGAGGAATGAGGAGTGCGGGCCACCCCCCACCTAGAGCAGGGACGGTCTCAAACACCAGTAGAGGCCGAGCCAGGTCTCATAGATCCAATTAGCATTAGTCTGGCCCAGAGGGAATTGGCATTCACAGATGTTCTAATCCCACAAACTGAGCCCTATTTTGTGGCAAGTCCTGCCCTCCTGGACTTTACATTCTAGTATAGAGACACAGACCATAAACCTGTAAACAATTAAGCAAATTAAGTCATTTTCAATAGTGACAAGTGCTGTAAGGAAATTTTTAAAAAGTGATGGGGGAGTGGGTAGAAATTCTGCTTTGGGAGGGGGATGTCAAAAGGGCTTCTCAGAGAAAGTGGCATTGAGCCAAGCTTTGACTGAATTAGAAGGAATGAGGGGAACAGCAGGGGCTCTGAAAGGCATGGCCTGTTGAGTGGCCAAAGGCTGGGCCTGGGGGGCTTTCACAGGCCAAACGAGTACTCGTTGAATGAATGAACCCCCTGAACTTGGTCAAATTGGTTTTGCAGCTATCAAGAGAGTGTCCTGAGTACAAGAGAAAATCAAGGGGGTGAGGTGGGCTGGGAGGAGGCAGAAGGGTCCGCAGGGGCTGATCCTGTGGTCTGTGGCCCTGCGGGTTGGAGTGTCAGCCTTATTCTCGGGCCACAGGGAGCCCCAGCCCAGGAGGGTTTTAGACAGAGAGTGACATTATCCTGACTTGCCCTTTAGAAAGGCAAAAAACTCCCCAGACACCTCCTATGTGTCACTCCTGGCCTTTAAAACTCCCAATAGCCCATGAGGTAGGGCTGGCTGACTGCAGACCCCATACCCTGTGGGGATAACTCCTGCATGTACCTACCTTTCCCCACTAATGGGTGGGTTGTGGGAGGGGAGATGGGCTTTATGAGCTCAAATGAGCAGGAAACTGCCTGACCGAAGGGGCCCAGGTCGCTAGTGCTCTCCAGGGATCAGTTACGTGACTTTTCTCTTCTAGGATCACCACGGGCTCCTTGGAAAGTCCTTCTGCTCCAGAAGCCAACCCCGAGGGGCGCTACCACTCAACGGGCTCTGACCAGGACCCTGTGGCGGACAGAGAAGGCAGCCCTGTGTGGGGCAGCAGCCCCTTTCAGCTCACAGCCTCCTCGGATGAAGACACTATTGACCTGAAATAAACAGGGTCCGGATTGAGTTTGCCATCTTTAATTTTTCTTATGGAGGTTTATACTCTTTAACCAATTCTGACAGCATTTCTCAACAAAATGTGGCTTTTAGCCCACCCGTGATCTACTGGACCAAACCTTCTGCACACCTGGACGGTTTGGGTCTCTCCAATGTCCGGTGCCATCTTCCTTGACCTCAGTTTCTTTCTGTTCAGGAACCATCCGTCCCCTTGTAATAAAGGTGGTAGATTTCATTGCGGTTTTAGATTGAAACTTTGAATAAATCAAAAATGTTCATTCTTATTTACTGCAACCTTCTCTTATATTTTATATACTTAGATGGAAAAATTATTTTTTCATTATGGTTTTGATTTATGTCACATAATGTGTTTCTTTTATAAAGAAAAGCCATTGCTTTTTAAATTTATTATAAATAAGTTTTCTTTCTGCACCTTTGGCCCCTGTTGCTGTTTCAGTTCACTGAGTTTGAAACCAGCTGTGTCCCTGCCTGTTGACTTTTGAGAAAAGCCGAATGGTTCATTCTTAGAAGCTCCTGCTCCCTCCTTGTGTCTCACAAAGAATAAGAAAGGGGTAGGATCCTGTTAAGAGTCTTAAGATTATTTTGTTTGGTTTCGTTGTTACTCTGCAATCACACAGCCAGCAATAGTCGCTCCTTGCCACCAAAATCACCATCCTCAAGCTCCCTTCCCATGTTCAGGTCTGCTTTGCTTTCTCGTGTGAACCAAGTGATTGTGCTTCTCCTGTCATCACCTGCCTTCCGTTGCTCCCCCCTCAAAGTGAGAAGAAAATGTGGGCTTGACCAAGTGCAAATGAAACCGTGAAATGTCAGCCTCTAGCCACGGGAGATCAAAGGGGGAAACCTAGTTTCACTCACACTGTAAAAATGTTAATCTGTGTGAAGAAGGCAATTTACCTTTGGCTTTACTCTAACGGATTCCGTTTTATTAGCTCTCTTCTCGCCCAAATTACCCACCAAAAGAAACTTTAAATCATCCCCCCATGAAAGCATCCCTGAGGGTTCTTCAGTAAGCCTTCTCTGGGAATGCAGAGAGCTGTGTTTGACATGACCTTGATCTGACAGATATTACAGAAGTTTGGGTCCTACCTCCTCATGGGCCTTGCACACTGTGGGGAGAGCTTCTTTGTCTCTGAAGACAGCGCTTTCTAAGTATAGCCAGGTAGACCCTCGCTGTGCTCAGCATTGCCGTTCCTCCTCTGTGTTTCCTTCTACCCTTTTCATATCTGGGGAAAACACAAGACCCATCGCATGCTGTATCTCAACCTCATGAAAAGTTTTGGGAGTTAGATTTTATTATTGCTTTTCAAATAAGTAAACTGAGGCTCAGAAAGGGACAGTGATTTGAAACTGTGAGTTCTCTGACCCCAGAGCTCTGCTCTCTCCCTTGTCCGCCATACAGAGTCAGGCTGAGTGCCTTGTGTCAGTTGGATCTGACTGGTGTTTTTCATGTTAAACTAATTTGTAAGCTTTATGAGTTTGTCTGTGTGTTCTTTCTGTCCTCCTTTTTTTCCCCCCTGGACTTTCTTGCTTCTCAGCCTGGAATAGAAGAAAACCAAGGGTGATTTAGAACATTCTTCCAAGAGATTGGAAGCATCAGAATGGCCCCATGATTGGACAAGAGTCACAAATCTGAGGAGTGAATGTAGAAAGGGCAAGAAATGGGCACTACTAATCAGATCGATGGTGATTAGGTTATAAAAGGGGGATCGGAGGTGGTCTGGCAGCAAGATCTGCTTACAAGGTCCAAGAGGTGAATGCTGCACCCTTGGGAAGGGAGACCACCATCCAGAGGGCAGAAGCAGGTTTGTAAGGGCCTGTGGCTCGGAGGGCTGGTGCTAGCTGGGCTCACTGGAACATCCCGTCCACATAAGGCCTTCTGCCTACCCCAGGTAGCAATATGCCCGTGGAGTTGGAGGCATTCGTCCACTCTGCAAACACCAGGGGCCCACTGTGTGGAGGAAGAGATCACATCCATTAATGGAGGGAGGGAAGTAAACAAGTGATCACACAGCAGTGATAAGTGCTGAGATAAGAATTTATAACTCGAGCACAAGCTGCTGTGGAAGCATAGAGGGGCAGTTGCCTGTCTTTAAAGATAGTACAATCAGGAGGTTGCACCAGGTCAAACGACTTTCATAATCAAATGGGCTAGCATTTGAGGGCCTCACATGTGCTTGGTCTTTCGTGGATATTGCCTCTGCTTAAAACCATCCAGGAAGGTAGATATTGTCATCCCCACTTAGAGATGAGGAAATAGAGGCCCAGAGAGGGATTAGAAGCCAAACCTCTTACTCTCATAGCCCCGGTTCTTTCAAGAATTACTCAGCACCCCAACTCAGCTGCCTCACCCAGAGAAGGGTTGGGTACAAATGGCCGAGCCCTAACATCATCCTACCTCCGGCAGTCACTTGGGTGCTCAAGTGAAGAAGTTGGCTACTAATAGCCGCAGGAGACTCCAAGACGGCAGGTGTTAAGATGAAGATTCCAGAGTCAGGATGGTCTATGAAGTGAGTGGAACTTAACAGGGAACCTGGGGTTCATCATTTAAGCCCCGATCAGTCACACATATGAGGACCCTGCCCAAAACAGCTCCGCAGCACCTCGAGGTCCTGGTGGTTGTCGGCTCGCAGCCGTCAGCAGTCTGCGGGCTCCGAGTCATGACCCGCACCGAGGTCGGCTGCAGCGCGCAGGGACATGCCTCTGCCCCCAGCAGCCCAGGTTGCGAGAGGAAAGAGAGCGGCCCAGGACATTCCTCCCTGCGGGTGGCAGTGGGCTGAGCTTGGCCAGGCGCGGGGAACCCTGGCCCCAGGGTACCAGTTAACGCAGAGCAGGAACCGCACAGCCGACCGGGTAGCACAGCCGCCGCTGCCCTGAGTCGGTGCGGGAAGTCCCGTGCGCTGTGTAGCGGCTCCACCTTCGTCCTGCTGCTAGCCTCATTGGTTGAAGCTAGACAGAGAGGCGGATCCAGGAGCAGATGAAATCCGCTTTACACCTTCATTGGCTGGTTCCGCTTCGCTTTCTGATCCCGCCCCTGGGTTCGCACCACACTCTTATTGGACGGTTCTACTCCAGGCCCACATACAAACTCCGCCCCACCTAAGCACTGCCTAGGCAGGTCCTAGGGGCGTTCCAGTGGGCGGTGCCAACCGGCTCTTTTCTCCTATTGGTCGGCTTTGATTTGGAGGGTGGTGCCTAGCGGCGAGGCTACCACCGCCTGGCGTTCCCATTGGTCGTCCCCATCCCAACCCAGCGCCTCCTCTCCCCGCCTATTGGCTGGCTCTGCCCAGAGAGGCGGGTGCCGGCTGCACTCGCGGGACCCGTGGCAGTTCAGGCAACAGAGCTGACCAAGCAGGCGTTGGCTGCGGACATGACGCCGGAGGACCCGGAGGAGACACAGCCGCTCCTGGGGCCGCCCGGCGGCAGGTGAGCGGGTGGGGGAGACCCGGGCCCGGGACGCAGCCTCGCCCCTCCTGCTGCGCCCAGGCCGGCGCCGCTCACCCGCCGCGCTGTCCCCGCAGCGCTCCCCTCAGCCGCCGGGTCTTCCTCGCCGCCTTCGCCGCCGCCCTGGGCCCGCTCAGCTTCGGCTTCGCGCTCGGCTACAGCTCCCCGGCCATCCCGAGCCTGCGCCGCGCCGCGTCCCCAGCCCTGCGCCTCGATGACGCCGCCGCCTCCTGGTTCGGGGTGAGGCCTCGGGCTCACCCTCCAGCCCGCCTGGGCTCCTCGTCCTCCACCCCACGCGCGAGGGCCCCCCGCGCTTACCTGGCTTCGGGCGGGCACTGAGACCCTCTGCCCGGTGCGTCCCGGCTCTCCTGCCGGGGGTCACCCGCTCCCTACCCCCGACCGCCAGCGTGGGACCCCCATCCCCTCTTCCCGGAGGCTGCTGGGGCTGGAGTTGAGGGCGAGGTTGGGCTGCGGCGCGGTGGCGTCCCCTCTCCATCGTGCGGTCGCCCCGCCCCAGGCCATCGTGACCCTGGGAGCCGCGGCGGGGGGCGTGCTGGGAGGCTGGCTCGTGGACCGCGCCGGGCGCAAGCTGAGCCTGCTGCTCTGCACCGTGCCCTTCGTGGTCGGCTTTGCCGTTATCACCGCGGCCCAGAACGTGTGGATGCTGCTCGGGGGCCGCCTCCTGACCGGCCTGGCCTGCGGTATTGCCTCGCTCGTAGCCCCGGTGAGTGCCCCCCAGCTTGCGCCCTGGGACGGGGAAGGACTGGGGGCGTGGTACTCCCTGGCTGCGGCGTCCTGGATGCCTGGCACCGCGCCCCTCGCCGGCTTTATCTTCTTTCCCGGCACCACCCTCCCCCGCCCACTCCCCCACCACCCCCCAGCCCCGCGAGGGGCCTTGGAAGGAGCCGCCGTTATCCTCGTTGACAGATGAAGTGAGCTTCAGAAACTGAAGCCCTTTTTCGAGCCACAACTAGGCAGTGGCGAAGCTATTACTCGAACCCAGGACTGTGCCACTTAACCAGGCCTCTCTTCTGCTCTACAAATAAGATACCACCTGTGGATGGTCACAGAAGCCTAGAGTAAGGCTTAGCTCTCCCGCTGTCATTCAGACCACTGACTACAGTGTAGCGGGAAAATCCTGTTCTTGTTTGTCCTGGCAACAAAGGCTGCTGGGCTCTGCTCTTCCCCTTCGCTACTCAGGAACTAGTCCTCCAGCTGCTTCCCATCTTCCAGTGCACCACTGTCCAGGCTGACTTGGGAGCCGTCTACCCAGGTGAAATCCAGGGATCTTCACTTGCTGGGGCAGAGTATACCTCTCTGTGCCTCACTTTCCTCCCCTGTAAAATGGGAATAATGGCCTTACCTCATGCAGTGGTTGTAGGGATTAAGCAAAGCTGCACATAGAGCCCTGGTGTGGCTTATAGGAGTGCTTGGACCCTGGCAGCGGAAATTGCAGGGTGACCAGTAAACCGTTCTGCTGGCCACGAGGCTTGGATGGTCCACCAGCCACGCACCAACCTGGTCAAGATTAAAAGTGTGGCTCAGAGTCCTCCCTGGTCATCCTTTTGCTCCCACGACTCATTTTACCTGCATTTGCTGGGCAGCAGGTAACAGCTGAGTCGGATTTTATGTTTTGGGTTTTGTTACTGGACAAAAACACGCCCATCTTACTTGTGGGCATAAGGTACAGAATAACCTAGAAGTATGGGTAAGACCTTTCTGGCCCGGATCCCAGAGGAAGCAGTGGCAGTCACTGGTAGCAACTGAGGCAAAGAGTTGGCTTTCACTCACTCTCACTGAGTATGTGATTCTGGGACCAGCAGCCCGGGTGTCACCTGGAGGTAGTCAGAAAGGCAGAATCTTGGGGGGGCCCCGGGTGGTTCAGGTGGTTAAGCATCTGCCTTCAGCTCAGGTCGTGATCTCAGGGTCCTGGGATGGAGCCCCACTTTGGGCTCCCTGCTCAGCAAGGAGTCTGCTTCTCCCTCTCTCTCTGCCCCACCCTCCGCTCCCTTGCTCCCTGCTCTTTCTCAAATAAGTGAATTAAATAAGAAAAGAAAGGCAGGGGGCACCTGGGTGGCTCAGTGGTTAAAGCCTCTGCCTTCGGCTCAGGTCATGATCCCAGGGTCCTGGGATTGAGCCCCACATTGGGCTCTCTGCTAGGCGGGGAGCCTGCTTCCCTTCCTCTCTCTCTGCCTCTCTCTCTACCTACTTGTGATCTCTCTCTCTGTCAAATAAATAAACAAAAATCTTAAAAAAAAAAAAAAGAACGAAAAGAAAGGCAGAATCTTAGGTCCCACCCTAGACCTACTGCATCAGAACCTGCGCTTTATCAAGGGTAGTCACAATGTGATCGAAGTTTGAAAGGCTTTGTGGCCTTCTCTCTCTCTCTCTCACATACACACAGCAAGCCATGTATCTATATCCTTACTCCCCTTTAAAACACCTGCTGCTGATCCTTGGGGAGGTATGGGGAGGGCTTTGCTGACTTGGGACCTGCTTGCTTACCTGGCTTGCAGCAGCCCCCCGCCAAGGCTCTCCTCAACTCTGAAGGGCTGAGGCTTTTCAGTTTTAAAAAAAGAACTCTCAGCCCAAGTCAAGTTTCTTCTTCACTGCCCACAGGTGTATATCTCTGAAATCTCCTACCCCGCAGTGAGGGGGCTGCTGGGCTCCTGTGTACAACTGATGGTCGTCACAGGCATCCTCCTGGCCTACCTGGCAGGTAGTTTCACAGCCTCTCTTTTGATCCCGGTTCATGGCTGTATGGCCTTTTCACAGCTGTAGACACTGAAGTTCAGAGAGGTCAAGGGACTTGCCCAAGGTCACACAGCCTGTCATATAGACCAGCTCCCTGAGCCCCTGGGACATGTGGGTCTTGTCCAGGGAGAGCTGGAGAAGGGGATGTCCTCATCTTCCCAGGGCAGAAGCCCATTGAAACGGGTGGGGACTGACCGGTTAGGTCAGTACCTCACTGTGCAGTGACAAACTGAGGACTCAAGGGGGTGGCTGGGACACCCCTAAAACTCTTCAGCCCAGGGGCATGGAGGGCTCAAGCATGTCTCTCAGAAATACCAGTACTGAATTTGCAGTGTGAAAGAAAAGGGTTCCAGGGGACCCAAGGGTCAGAGCTGGGGTCAGCGTGAGGAAGCTTCTAGAGGCAGACATGTTTTCACCAGAACTGGGGTGGAGAGAGTCTTCACATCACACAGTACAATGTCAGGGGACACTTACTGTGTGACCTTGGGCCAGTCACACTGCTCCAATGAGCCTTACTTCCTCTGTCTTTAAGTGACGTAGTCAAAGGTCCTCAATGAGAATTTCAAGGGATGTCCTGAGACCCAGAGGGACCAGAGTATGTGCCGTCTGGTTCTTCAGAGTGGGCGACATCCTGGTTGGGCTCTTTGATTTTTGCCCACTTACCATCCAGCAGTCTGGCTGCTTTGGGGGCCCCTTGGGGTGCCAAACCCCTTGCCAAATGCAGACATTGACATTTGGGACAGACACGTGGGTGTCAGTATGCCTACAGAATTCCCTCCAGCTCATCCTAACCAGCACGTTCCTTGATCAGCTTCTGTGACGGTTGATCCACTGGTGTTCCATGAAGCGTCTCACCCACACTGTCCCCCTTCCCGTCCAGAGGAGCCAGCCTCGCCCGCTGCTTGGTGGCCTTCCAGAGTCTGTACATATTCATTCTCCCTCCCCTACCTTTTAGACAAAGAGCAAATGCCTCATTCTGTCTTTAATTGCCGCATAGATATTTACTGAGCCTATGTAGCATCATGACGTACCCACCAGCGTTTCTATAATACTTATCAGCCCCAGTTGGTGACAACAATATTGGTGACAAACACAAGTGTAGCCACACGGAGGTAGTGAGGCCCCCCACCCTTGAAGCTGAGTCCTTGGGTTGGCGAGAGGGCGGGCATGCCCTGATAAGATCCAGCCTGGCGCACTCCTGCTCTGACATCTGACCGCCTGCCCCCCAACCAGGCTGGGTCCTAGAGTGGCGCTGGCTGGCTGTTCTGGGCTGTGTACCCGCGTCCTTGATGCTGCTGCTCATGTGCTACATGCCCGAAACCCCCCGCTTCCTGTTGACCCGGCAGAGGCACCAGGAAGCCATGGCCGCCATGCACTTCCTGTGGGGCTCTGAGCAGGTCCGGGAGGAGGTCCCTGCTGGGGCTGAGCACCAGGTGAGGGGCTGGAGCCAGAGCCGGGGTGGGATGGGACAGAGGGTGGGGGGTGGGTAGGAAACGGGGAGGTACGGCCCTTCTGCAGCCAGGGGAGGCCTGCACAGCCCGTCCCCAAGGCTTCACATACACACGTGGGGAATGGAGGCACAAGTGGGGGCGTTGTCCTCTGTGTGAGCAAGCAGGGGCCTGCTGGAGCCCCACTAACTACCTGGGCCCTAGCCTTGACCTTACCACTCCAGGAAGAGAAAAGGCCGGCTGGGTCAAGGGGAAACACAGGCATGCAGACTTGAGGAATTGGAGTTTTAGGTGGGGCGTTGTAGGGCAGGAGACTCTGTCTCTGCCACTTGTCTGCTGTGTGACCCTCACATCCCTAAGCCTGCCTTTCTGCATCTGTAAGATGGGACTCCCAGCACGAGCCTGCTGGTGGCAGGGATTCAGCAGCTGCAAGACAGGCGCTCGGCCCAGGCCTAGCCCAGGGCTGGTGGGATTCTGGAACCCCTGGCTTTGTGTCCATGTAATCTTTTCGTGGTACGCCCCCCCCAACAAATCAGAAAGGGGCATGGGGAGGTGAGGACCTTGTCACCTTACAAATGGTAAGGCTAAAGTGATGCGGGGACCTGTTCCTGATGTGAGGCCCGGGTGACAAGGAGCTGATGCTCAGGGTTTAGGACAGTGGCCCCTCAGGAGCAGGGAGGGAGGAGCACTGACACGGGCCTCTGTCTGAGCAGGGCTTCCATCTGGCCCAGCTGAGGCATCCTGGCATCTACAAGCCCTTCATCATTGGCGTTTCGCTGATGGCCTTCCAGCAGCTGTCAGGGATCAATGCTGTCATGTTCTATGCAGAGACCATCTTTGAGAAGGCCAAGTTCAAGGTAAAGAGGCCTCTGCCCCAGCCTTCCTCATCTAGATGCCCAGTCCCGGGGTCTTTGGCTGACCCACCTCGGCCCATCTCCCCAGGACAGCAGCCTCGCCTCGGTCATCGTGGGCATCATCCAGGTGCTGGTCACGGCCTTGGCGGCCCTCATCATGGACAGAGCTGGGCGGAGACTGCTCCTGACCTTGTCAGGTGAGGCCCGAGGTCCAGGACTTGGCCCTGTGAAAGCAGGGTGGCATAGGCCGGGTTCCCCACCACAGGCTGGAGGGTCTTTTCTGAGGCCACCGCAGGGCAGCAGGAAAAGGCCCGCGGAGCACCCATGAGAACAAGGCAGAGATTCACGGGGGTGCTCCCCCAACACCAGGCCCGCGCTCCCAGGGTCACTGAAGCTTCCCTCACCCCTCACGTTGAGCCTCCAGGCAGGTGCCATCAGGGCCCCGTTTACGACGTGGAAACTGAGGACCTGGGAGGAGAATTGACTTGGAAGCTTGGGGTCTTTTCGGGCAAGTGACTTCACCTTTCTGAACCTCAGTTTCCCCAGTATGAAATGGGGGCTAAGGGGGGCCATGGTGAGGACCCAGAGACAATCCACTGCATGGGGGTGAAATCCCTGCTGCTGCTCAAGCCAGGGAGGCTCTGCCTCGGAGGTTCTCGGAGTCTGCTGTGGTTCAAGGTCTGAGCTAGGGCTGGTGGGATGGGGCTGGGGGCTGCCAGTCTGGGCACCAGTGCTCACAACCCTCCCAGAGAAACCCAGGCTGCATTGCTGTGGCCACACCACACCGAGATTCCAGACCCAAGTGCCAGCCACACGCCCAGGCTGCAGCCCCTTGTCGCAGGGCCCCACCCACCACCACCCTCCGCTCGCAGGTGTGGTCATGGTGTTCAGCACCAGTGCCTTCGGTGCCTACTTCAGGCTGACGCAGGGCGGCCCCAGCAACTCCTCACACGTGGAGCTCCTCTTGCCTCTCTCCATGGAGCCCGCCAGCACCAGCGTGGGGCTGGCCTGGCTGGCGGTGGGCAGCATGTGCCTCTTCATCGCCGGTGAGAAGGGGGTCCGTGGGGAGGTTGGGGGTGCTATGGGGACCTCCCATCACCACCAGCTTCCTGAAGCTCCCAGCAAGCCAGGCCTACCAAGCCTTGCCTCTCTAGCACGTGGGTCCCCACCTCTGCGTTTATGGCTCTGACCCTATTCCAGGCCCTGAGCTAAGCCCTTCTCTACCCCTTTCACTTAATACCCCCCCAAATCAGCCCTCCAAGCAGGCCCCATCATGACCCCATTCTGGAGAGAAAAGCCTGATGTGTAAGCAGTGGCGGGACTGGCCCAAGACATTGCTGAAGGAAGGCGCAGAGCTGAGGGGCCGGACTGGAAACCACGAGGCTTTGGCACGAGGGTGCTGTGGCAATCCCAAGGGTCTGTCCGCATGGGCTCTGATGCTTCTCTTGCTCCCACAGGCTTCGCTGTGGGCTGGGGGCCCATCCCCTGGCTCCTCATGTCAGAGATCTTTCCTCTGCACGTCAAAGGCATGGCCACTGGTGTGTGCGTCCTCACTAACTGGTTCATGGCCTTTCTGGTGACGAAAGAGTTCAGCAATGTTATGGTGAGTGCGGGCCCAGAGGGCCTCCCCCTCATAGTTGGTGGGGAGCACTATTCAGAATTATTCTTAACTGTGGAAGACTCGGGGTCAGTGGCTTCGCATGAAGGCTGAAGCCACCCTCCTGGGACACCAGACATCCTGGTCAGGGCTGAGGGGAAGCCTGACAGGCCAGAAAAGGTGAGGAACCCAGGCTATGACCAACTGGGAGACTTCAGGCTCTCCTGGCCAGTAGGACTGGCCTCCGCCACTGGACGCTGGGAACATGGGCCAGGATATAGGGCTGTGTGGGAAGAACCCTGGCTTTGGAGTTGACAGGCCTGGGCTCTAAGCCCACCTTGATCACTTCCCACTGTGCAATCTTGGGTGTGCCGCTCACCCTCTCTAACCAGCTTCCTTGGCTGAAAATGGAGGAGGATGACGGCACCTTCCCCTTCAGCTTGTGGGGGCATCCGTTCATTTTAACATCCTGCTACTTTCACACACGTGAACTGACACAGACCTGGATCCTGCCCCAAGGGCTCCCCAGCTGATAGGGGAGGATGGTTCTGGAGCACACAGGCCATCTGGTCAGGCATTCATTCCCCTCACGCCTCCTGGGACATACTAGGTCCAGGCCTGTTCAAGGAGCCAGGGGCGGCAGTGAGGTAGACAGGGTGCCCTTTCCCACCAGACTGGGATGGCAGTGGACAGTGGAGAGAGAAAGAACCACCAGGAGGCTGGGCTAGAGCAAGGAGGGGCAGGTCATGAGAGGCGTGGATGCCTGGGGCTGGCCTGGGCCCGCTCAGATGGGCTGCCCTGGGGAACATGTTGGGAAGACCAGGGCAGAGAAGTAGAAGTGAAAATGGCTTGCTGGGAGCTGTGGGGAGACGAACAACAAAGGAGGGAGGAGATGGCAAAGGACCTGACAGTGACTCAGGAGTGCAGAGTGTCCAAAAGGCTGACAGAAGAACTTCCAAGGGGGTGTGGGGGTGGCAGGTCCTAGAGGAGGAGGAGCTGACAAGGGAGGGGGCTTTGGTTCTGGCACGCGGGAGGTCGCCTGCGCTGGGAGGGTGGCCAGGCTCTGACCCGAGGGAGCTGCTCTCTCCTCCCTCCATTGCTGGTGAGCCCCAAGTGCCCTGTGAGCTCACATGCCCCATCTCAAGCTGCTGAGAGCTCACCCGCTCCTGCCGACAGCAAGAAGAGACTCCTCTGGAGGCAAGGAATTCAACACAGGGCCAAAGCAGAGCATGGAGCATGGGTCTGGGGGCCCTGGAAGCCAACCCCAGTGCGGGGGCAGCCCCACTGTCACTTGGTAGCGGGTGTGACAGTGAGCATCAGCTTTCCCGGGCAGACGACATCCACACCCCATATGGGGCTTGGCCCAGGCTTCCAGATGGCCGGGCCAGACCCTCCTTCACCCCCCGGAGCCTAGGCAAGGCAGGCCGGGGCCTCAGCTTGGAATCGCACGAGGGCCCCCGACCTGCTATGTCCACACAAGGCCTTCCCGTCTCTTTCCAGGAGGTGCTCAGGCCCTACGGTGCCTTCTGGCTTGCCTCCGCCTTCTGCATCCTCAGTGTCCTTTTCACTTTGTCCTGTGTCCCGGAAACCAAAGGAAAGACTTTGGAGGAAATCACAGCCCATTTTGAGGGGCGATGACAACCCCTTCTTGTGAGTGGCTGCCTCTCCTCTCAGGGCCAGCTTTGAGCTTCAGCGGGGGATGGAGCCTGCCTGTTACTCCAAGCGGGGCCTCAGCCAGAGCCTGGAGCCCCTGTCTGTTCCCAGGGAGCTGGAATCCAGGACTGCAGTCCCTTGGAGCCTTGTCCTCCAGGGCGCTTCCTTCCTACCCAGCTCTCCACAGCCCAGCAGACCACGGGCATGAGGTTTCCTGGCCCCTGGGTCCAATTCCCGCCACCCCTCTGAGTCTCCAGGGAAGGGAGCATCTTGGAAGGGCCTTGATGCCCTGCAGTCCATTATCCACAGACCACATCCATCTTGTCACGAAAGCAACAGCAGAGGAGGGGGAACTCTTGACTCCTCATTTTCTGGAGGACATGCTTCTGAGGGGCGGTCCCTGACTTCTCCCCTCATGTGGCTGCATTGTCAGGAAGGAGCTTTGTTTGCCAAATAAAGATTTGACTCAGAAAATCAGGTCATGGCCTCTTTGTGTGTTTGAGAAGGGCATTTTCCTATCCCTTCCCTAAAGTAGGCCTCCCACAGACTGGGCCTTGCCAAGAACATCTATTGATTTCCTTTTTCTCGTGGTCCACCAGGCTTCCCTTTGGCACTTGAAGGTCATTTCTGACTCCTTCCTTGGGCTCAGTGCCCTGGATCATTAGTCACCAAATCTCATTAACAACAAAAAAGCATCTCTTTTTCAATTGACTTTAATGGAGTCAGAAGTCTTTTACAGATTACTTTTATTACCCATTATATAAGTAATACATGTTTATGGTAGGAAAATTGAAAAACCTAGATTTATTTAATATAATTATTTTTATAGCAGTTAACTGTCTGCTAGGTGTTGCCCTAAGCACTTTACAAATACTAACTCACTTGGATAAATGATACAATAATTATTCACAGGTGTACCTTTCCAGAGTTAACTTCTTTTAAGAATTCGGGTCTATCCCGAAAGAACTTCCTCCCGACACATATCCTTTCTAGCATCACTACACACAAGTAGGACATTACACTTCCCACTCCATGATCTGCTTTTTTAATTCCCACTCCATGATCTGCTTTTTTAACTTCCGGGTTGTGCAGTCCCACCACATGCCCATCTCGGCTTTTTCTGTTAAGCTTTGTAATGAGACTGGGGAGTAAGGGAGTGGAAGTGCAGTGGGGTCCAGGGCAGAGCAGTGGGGAGAGTTTCTGGAAGATTCTGCAACAGCTGCTCTGATGTCAATAAAATGTGCTACATAATATACAGGACAGCGTTCAGCCTTAGTGAAGTCCAAATTCCTTCGGGCCCTCCAGAAGCCAGGTCATGTCCACATGCAGCCACGTCTTCCATGGTAACGACTGTATCTACACTCTCGTTCTTAGCGCCTGCCCAGACGCCCACTGATTGGGTTGAGAATTCACGGTGTGCCACAAATGTCCATTAGGTCAGTTGCAGATGGAGCGGCTCAGGTCTCCCACATCCTTGCCGACTTTCTGTCCACTTGTTCCATCAATTATCGAGAGAGAAGTGCAGAAGTCTTCCCCTGTGCATGTGGATTGTTTCTCCTTGCATTTCTGCTGGGTTTGGCTTCCTGCACCTTGGAGCTCATCGTTCAGGTGGGTTCACATTTGGGATTGTTAATATTGATTGCTTTTGTCCTACAGCATTGTGAAATGACCTACTTTGTCCCGGGGAATAGCTCTTGTTCTGAGGTCTCCTTTGATATCAGTATCACCACCCCAGCCTTCTTTTGATTGGTGCTTTGACAATGATTTTCGATTATATCTTATTATATATTCCTTTTTTCAAAGCATCCTCTACTTTTCTTTGTGATGGAAATGGCTTTGGGCTTTCCCTGAGGATACATATTTTCACTTTTAAAAATGAGCTTTATTATGGGCGTTATTTACATGCCATGAAATTCAACAACGGCAGGCATAAAAACTTGAGAACTTAGGTTGAATGTACACACAGCTCTGTACCCAGCACCACAGTCAAGATATAGGACATTTTCCTCACCCCAAAATGCTCCTTCATGTCCGTTTGCAGTCAGTCTTGTCTCTGTAGCTTTGCATATTCTAGACTTTTACAAAATGGAATCACATAATTTGTCGTATTTTGTGTCTGGTTTCTATAACTTAGCAGAGTGCTTTTAAGATGCATCTGTGCTGCGTGCCCCAGCGGTTCATTTCTTTTAATTGCTGAGTAGCGTTCCATTGGACATTTGGGCGAGTTCCAGTTCGGGGCTGTCATCACTAAAGCTGCGGTAAACACCTGCTACAAGTCTATATATGGAACGGAACTACCAGGTCCTGTAGTAAGTTTACCCTTAACTACACTGTAAGAACCTGCCAAATGGTTTTCCGAAATGGCTGTAACCATTCTACTTTCCCATTGCCAGCGCACAAGAGTTCCAGGGGCTCCACATTCTCAAAAACACTTGGTAGCCACTGTGAGGAATGAAACCATTTGTACATTTTCATTTTTTGAACGTTGTTTCCTAGTCTCTGATTTCCTCTGGAATCAATTAATCGGGTTATCTTGGTCCTTCTATGCAGCTGGTTTATCTCAAGTATCTGGGGAGCTCTGGTAGTCCGTATTTAGGAATGAAGAACTAGGGGGTTTTAATTACCCCCCTAGTTCATATACAGTGGCTGGTATATGCCCCCTGCCTCTGAACCTGTCTCAATTCTGTTATGGTTTTTGTTCCCTTTACACATATTCACTGTCATTTCAGTGGGAACTAGAGGAAGAGAAAGGGGAAATGTGTAAGTTCGGTCCACCAGCTTGAAATGGAAGCTCTCAGCATTCTTTTAACAATTTGTTTGCCACGGGAGTCCTAGTGTGTGTCAAAGAGCAGGTGGTTAAATATTTGTGAAATTCAACAGAGAGGATTTTGTCATATAAATATGTCAGAACTTAACCTCACATTGTTCCATATTCAAACTGTTTCTGGTTTTCTGCTTATTGATAATTCTGCTACTACATTTAGAGTTAGAGAGGGCGATGAGAGATGGAACAGAGGAGAGATGAGAGATAGAGGTGATAGATGAGAGAATGAGATGAGAGAGATGATAGAGACGGGAATGATGCTGACAGAGACGGAGACAGAAAATAGAGACGGAGACAGAAAATAGAGACGGAGACAGAAAATAGAGACGGAGGTGATGTGGAAGAGACGGATGTAAGCTGGGTAGAGATGGAGATGATGCTAATGATGAAAGTAGAGAGATTAAACTTGTGGGCAAGGAAAACGTTATTGTGGCTTCAATTCTACCGTGGGCTCTTTCCTCCATACCCCAGGGTCCAGGAGCCAGTGCAGCATAGTGGTTAAGAGCAGTGGGCTTAGTTCAAATTCTGGTTATACTACTCACTGCCTGCGTGACCAGGACAAGTCATTTAACTTCTCAAAGCCTCAGTTTATTCACCTGTAAAGTGGGCATAATGACCCTATCTCTCTCATGAGGTTGTTGTGAAGATGAACGGAGAGATGTAAAGCACTCAGAACTAAGGATGGCACAGAGTGCCTCAAAGGGACATGGGAAATCTTTACACATTTTTCTCTTTGTATTCTATTTCCAACCCTGAGTCCTCAGCAACTCCTACTCACACCATCTCCGATTGCTACCAGCATCCACTTATAGGTACTGATGACTGTGGACACACAGAGATTCCACACAGAAAACTGTGTGGACACACAGTCTTCAGGACTTCCTGGGGCGGGGCGCTCCTTATCAGGCCAGAAGATGCCACACGGACCAGAGCCAGCCCTAGCTAACAGTCTTCAATCTGCCCCAGAAGCTTGGCACAGGACCACGGAAGGCAGATGGAACATCCCCAAAGGACAGGTGCAGCTGCAGAAGCTGTGCTTTACCCGTCCCAAGGTGGAAATCTGCACCGCCCCCCGCAACACCCCATGTCCCATCCCTCTGCCCCCAGAACTTCCAGGAGAATCCTAGCTTCTGCATTCTTGAGGCAATGAAGAACGCCACCCAGTGGCCATAGGCAGAATTGCGCCCGTTGGGGAGTTTGGTTGGGATCCCAACACCAAGGAAAACCACTACTGCCCACTGCCATTATAGGGTTCGCGTCTGCTAGGCCTTGTGGCCATGCGCAGAACAGCACCAACTGTAGGGGGCTCGGAGCCAAGGAAGGCAGGCAGTCTCTGGGAGCTGTAAAAGGTAAGGAACACGATCCTCCCCTAGAGTCTCCAGAAGAAACATAGCCCTCCCCCACCTTGATTTTAGCCCAAGGAGATCCATCTCAGACTTCTGGCCTCCCAAGCAGTAACCCCAAAATTGCAGCAGTCCAAGGTAGAGAAAAGCTTATCTCAGAGATCTGTGGGTGTGGCTTGTCTAATGCAGTGAATGCCAACAACATTCATTTAAGGCCCACGAGATAATTATACTGGCAAAAAAACACTACCAGCTGTGGCTGAAAAGGACCCGCAGTACAAAATGAAAAGAGGCCTTAGGACCCCCAAACTCTTTTCTGTTTCCCAGGTAAAACATTCCCATCTTTTAATGTCAAAATGCCTCAAAACTGAATTAGTGATCAGAAAATTGCTGGAGTAGTGGGTAATTTTCAACAGGCAAGGGGGGAACACATCATCGGTGCTCCGAGGAAGCCCATTAAATATCCTCTGGCACAGCACAGAAGCCTCCAAGGAACAGAATACTTAGGAATCACCTGTGCAGCACTGCTGATGGAACATTATTAACACGATTCAGGGCTTCTGCCCCTTAAATTACTGAAGAAGCTCCCTCCTGCTGATAAGATTTTTATATTCTGAGAGTTCCAGGGCACCAGCCTGTGGCTGCCTGTTCACACAGAGGGGCCCTCCCTCCTTTCCTCTACTCTTCCCAAACTTTCCAAAGGCTGGAGGACCTAGGGTTAGGCCCTGAGCTGAAGGTTGCGTTTAAGAGAGGATCCCCAGGGGTTGCCTGGGTGGCTCAGTCCGTTAGGTCTGCCTTCAGCTCAGATCATGATCCCAGGGTCCCGGGATCCCCGGATGGAGCCCCACATGGGACTCCCTGCTCCGCGGAAAGCCAGCTCCTCCCTCTGCCTGCTACCCCTGCTTGTGCTCGCTTTCTCTCTGTGTCCAAAAAAAAAAAAAAAAAAAAAAAGCAATAGAGAAAGAGAACCCCTGCAACCCACGGTTCAGGGAATGCCCAAGCACGGAGGAAAAGGAAGTCAAACCTCCAGCTCCAGCGCACGTCTGCACCTGCGCTAAAAGGGATCCTTAGAGGCCAAGTTGCTTCCCTCTTCAGAGGCCACCCACCGTGGGATTCCGGTAGACCTGAATGGGATGTGGACAAAGCTTGATAAATAAGAGATTCGAGAGCAAATACAGGCGAAGCCTCTCTGGGAAGTACGGTCCACAGGGTGTATAGGTCACAAACCTTGCAAAGAGGGTGAATTAGGTTTTGGCCAGGAGCGGATATCAGAGACTTCTGGGAGATGGAGTCCGGTGGAGCGGGGAGGT